CAATTTTTTTCCATTGCCTTTCTGGAAGGTATGACTATTCCATCTGGATGTTGGGGTGTAATCATTTTAGTCATGTAACTGGGCGAGATTCCGCTAGGCTTTGCGAATACTTTTCCCAGCGTCTGCTGCTCCGCCCATAAACGTTGCTGTTTTCTCTTCAAAATCTTGTTTTATCGCCAGTCTGCGTTGTTTTGGATGTCTGGATACCAGCTGACGGTTGCCTGCCGCTCGTGCGATACCATGTTGGCGTATCAGCTCGAGAGTTTTTGGAGGCAGGCGCCTTTTGGTGACTTTCGAACTCTCAGCTTTCATAGCGCTAACGTGAAGATGCTGAATAAGCCGATCGTATTCCTCGGCGATACTACCGACAACAGCATCTTCCCAACATCCGACTAGTGAATTGAATATGTCCCAATTCAAGGTGGTTCTGGAACCTCGGTTTTGGAATATAGCGCCTTTTTCTCCTTTCCGCAAGAAATTAAATCTTGCACGAAGGACTACGGTCTGATCCCGTGTAGAGCTTCGGGACAACAGCGACAACGGTTAGGCAAAACCTACTATGATGTGGTCTATTTCGTTATGGTACTCTCCATTGTGAGACTTCCACGTCCAGCGCTGAGGGTGGGGCTTCTGGAATTGCGAGTTACCATGGATTGTCTTGGTCGCCATCATAAACTCAGACAGCCGCTCACATTGTTCGTTCCATTCTATTTCGTGGGTCCCAATGTGAAGTTCTTAAGACGTTCTTTTTGGTCCAATCTTGACGTTGAAATCTCCAATGATGACTTTGAAGAATGTACTCTCTTCTCTGTAAAATTTTTCCAGGTACAAACAGAAGGTTTCGATTTCTTCTTCGCTATAATTTTATGTCGTCGCGTAAACAACGAAGATTTTCAAACCCGGTATTGATCCACATCTTTTTAACCGTAAACGTCCGATTCGGGTTGTAAGCTGTTCGAATGAAACGATGTTCACGGACAAACTTGTGTTGACGAGAACGCCGACGCGGCCAACTCCTTTACTGTCGCATGTTTCGAGGAACAGTTCTTCTTTCTCCGGTGTCGTAAACGGCGTTGAATGGGTGGCGTCGTCTCGCCTCGGCCAGGCCGATGACGTCGTACCTTTTCCTTCTTGCTTCCATGAGCAAGTCTTCTATCGAGGACTTGGATGCAAGTGTGCGTGCATTGTAGGTACAGATCGTCAACTTAGTTCTTCGTGATCGAGGCAGCTTCCATTGGTCCTGATATTTTAGCAGCCTCTCCGTACTCGTCCTTCCCAACGCTGCGAAATTGGGGCTTTTTCGGTCTCAGGAGAATGAAGCCCGTTTTTTTTACTGCTTTTAGCTTTTTGATGCCCACGTATAGTTTGCTGGGCTCTGAACGTGAGCACTGGGTTTACTCACGGACGGCTTGTCGGTCCTTCCCAGAGTGGACATGTAGCTTGTTTGTTAGTAACGACTCCTAACTGCCTTCCACATATTTCCCTGTCACTTGATTGCAGGCTTTTGGCTGAATTGTTTCGTAGAATACAATCCGCATAAACTTGAACGCACCCACATACACGTGCACGAATACACCTCGTAAATATGTAAAGCATGTGCCAAATTAGAGCAGTAGAAATAGAGATTCTAACTCCTAGATCTACATGCGTCTCAGTGGAGCAAAGGTCGCTTTTGACCCGTTATTAACCTCGTATCTGCCACCTGGGGACGCTCCATATAGCTTCGTGACTAACCGGCTCGAAATAACTCATATGAGAGACCTCCGCGACGCTTGGCATATTAGTAGATATTGTTGTTTTTCCCACAACTTTACGAAAAGTAAAGTAATTGATGAGTTGGAACGACAGACTTACAAAACGGACTTTGTTCTGTTATTCTACGTTTATGTCTAAGTTTCCTAAACCAGGTACTCGGACATTCAACAATAGTACTACTTCGCTATGCGCTGGTTGATATAACGTCGACTGGTAGAAGATGGATTGTCTTCCTGAAAGCAGATTATTAGTGGAAAACCAGTCAAGAACCGTTCTGAAGAAAACGGCACCGCCTAGTGAGTTTACTCCATTCAAGCGGTGCTTCGTTCAGCTGGATCCGACTCAATGCGACTACAAAAACTCATATCGAAAAAATAACGGATGCAGAAAATCGCCTTAACATCGACGTAAAGAGATTGATTTAACAAGGCAATAGCATTTCGCTAAAGATCTTTGCAGTCCATTCAAAACTGTCATGCCAAGATTGGAATGGACGACATGGGAGTGACAGGTGGTGATCGGTAATTACACATTGCTCGTTTTGGTGATAATACCATTAACGATAATATCAAGCCTTAGCCAAACGGAACGGATGCTCGCTGAGTCTCAAAACAGTGTGGGAACATTGTTTTCCACGAAATCTCTCCCAATCGATGTTCACGAAGAACGGACTTGTTTCTATTTCGAAACCGACCTTCCCTAAACCTCGGTGTGACTAATCAATATGTATTCTTTCTTGATAAGCTTGCACGAGGTTGATAAATATATTTATTTTCGGCTAACGTTTCGACGTCTTCGTCTTCCTCAGAGCCGGTGATCCGAGTCGATGGTCCATGCTTGTTGTTCGCCTCGACGTTGCGTCTTCGCCTTCCTGTCGAGCCAGATCTTCCTCAGCGAGCCATCTTCTCGAATGAGGCATCCTCACTCAGTGATGCCCTTTTATACACGATGCTGATGGTGGATATATAATGACAATGTCCGGTGGTAACAACTTGTATTTCTTCCGGACATACATCATTGCGCACATCGTGCAGAGGTCGGTGTATTATCAGCTAGCACAAAGCATAGTAATATTTCGAAACCAACCTTCCCTAAACCTCGGTGTGACTAATCAATATGTATTCTTTCTTGATAAGCTTGCACGAGGTTGATAAATATATTGTTTCTTGTTTCTGATGCTCGATTCATGCTGAACAGGATAAATGTCTCCGAATGCTCCAGTCAGGCCTATCTAGGTTGGGAAACCAAGATGGTGAACGACTTAGCTCCAAAGTTGAGTAGGAGGAAACAAGCAGCTTGGAACCTCTCAAGAGCATGCAGGATATAGTGAAGGTAACAAGGAACACTCAACTCCGTGTACACTTTTTCGACTTTTTTCGAGGAATCTTCCTGCCCTAATGCGCATGTCTGAAACGTATTCGTTATGTAAGGAAGATGAAGCATTACTCAGCGTTACACCACGCGGAGTAGAGAGTACGGTGTTAAGAGTGTCATGTATCACGGATGTGGAGAAGGAATCAATCCAAAGTGCTAACCTCTTTCAAGAATCAAAGATCGGAGACACCGTTGTGCAAGCTAAAAGGTGTAAATTCCACTGAGCCGGTCCGGTAATGCTACTAGTTAACCACCGGTGAAGAATAGTCGTTTAGCAACTGCATTCCTCTGGATGACAAATACACAGCAGAAGGACCACCGACCCAACTATCTGAGTTCTTCACGAAAATCTTATTAAAAAAAATACGAAATTCACCTTTTCCCTAGAACGAGCAGACTCCACTGGGCCACTTTTGCACGCCACAGGGATAAATGAAGACTAGCGCTCGCTTGAGTTAGTCGACGATAAAAAGTGGTACAGATGGTACAAATGACGATAGGTAATATAAGTCGTATGGAATGAGCAAACATAGAACCGATATTTAGATTATATACATTGGAAAACCGGCTACCAAATGATGACAACAGCTCAGTTGTATGGTGTATGAGTTCTTGTTCGCAAAACATAAAAATTCTAAACGTTGCAAGAGCGCAGCAAATGTAAAGAAAAACCTGCATGATATGTAGAAAACAAAAAACACCGAAAGTAAAGACTAAATACACAAAGAAGTCGAATTATAGTAAAAACACAGCGAAATTACAGGTTCATTTTTCAAGGGAGCAATCGCAACCGCAAAAATTGAGGTCGACTCATACCTACTGTGGCAAAGAATTAGGCTTACAGCAGATGCGCCAGCCACTTTAAGTGTTGAGAGTGTAAATATCATAGCTTAAGGACTGTAAAGCGTAGATTTGTGTAAAGAAAGTGGAAATTGTAAAGGTTATGAGTTGTAAAAAGTAACTGGGTAAATTGCAAGTATTGTAGATTGCAAAATATTGTGTGAAAGCACCCTGGTGAACTTGGGCTTTGTGAACAAAGCCTGTTCACAATTAGCAATTCTGGTGATGCTAATCGCATATCCACGCTGTAACTCCAACCACATACAGCGTCTTAACAGTTTGCATCTTATCACGGCTACAACTATTACTCCAACTATTGAAATTCGGTGTGCAGGTACAAAAGAAACACCTCTGCATCCTATTCATAAGCAAGTCTCTGTGGCACTCTATCTATATTGCAAATACAGAAATCACTGCCGTATTCCGTGGTAATCGGACGAACAAACTCTTAAGAAAAAGTTTTTGTAGATTACTGAGTGTAAAAATGAAGCTTTCACGGAATACGCCTGCAAGGACATCTGTCTGGGCGGGTGTAGTACATTTGTTAGGGGCGCCTTGCAATATACATAGGATCGATCCCGCACTCCAGGCTCAGCAAATCTTCCATCCCTCTGGAGTCGAGAGATTGGTACCAAACCTATCTGGGAGAAGAACAACAATGACTCGATACATCGGTAGACCATCGCGAGTCATTGCCTAGACCAGATATACATTCAATCGCTTCTAACAATGGTAAACGAAGTCGAATGTATAACGCATCCTTCAAGGGCTGATCAACGCTGAATCCTCTACCTTTTTGTCTTTTAGCTCAAATTACTTCGAAATTTTGTCACTCACGTCAACACCGTTTGGAGCGATCGACTGTCTACCCAGAGGAAGAATTTTCAGTAGTCTAACTTTCTCAGTGAATCGATCCACATTGTTATAGGCACCTAAGATCTAAAATACGAACCACTCTTGTCAAAAAACATGAAGATGTAACACTAATGACTAAATAAGGCGAGTAAAAACAAAAAAAGATCAAATGGTAGTTATAATAGCATAACCACTGCAGCTCTCATGGCATCATCGTCGGTTGAATCTAACGGTGCTTGTACATATTGTTCAAAACCATCGTCGAAAAAGATCTAAAACAACAAAAACAAGCAAATTTTAATCACCAAAAAAGTTGGCACGACTAACGCTGCAAGAATGTGAAATTTTGCAAACAGTTGAAGCGCACTCCACTCAACAACTATAAAAACAAAAAATGACCGATATATTGTTGTAACCATGAGAAAAGTGACCCATTCATACAACAACCGTACCAGAAATTCTTTGTTGTGAACGGAATTTGGTAAAGCACCAATTGTTCCGCTATACCAAGCCGGTCCATCAGAAAAGTAGACATTTGTTACGAGAGCCACTACACGTAGACCTTTAAAATATTCAATGAAAAGTTTTTGGTGGTAAGACTTTTGGTTTTTACGTATACTACTAGAATGGACTAATCTCCTAACATTTCTTCGGACTTAACAATGAGGCAACATGGTATACCTAAGTAACTAGTTCTCCTTATATCCGGGTCATACATTGGAGCGGCTGGTATGGCGACATCACACGTTTCAACGTTGTCAATGGCGCTTGATTCAACAAACTTGATGCGGTATGATGTTTCTGATGCCTGAAGAGAAATTAAAAATTGACGTCATCGTTCAAAGCACCAAAAAGCAAAGAAAGCACACAACTGTATGTTACAAGTGATCCACTGTTAAGCTTTAACGCCTTTCTACAAATCGAAATATTACCAAATTGGACAAAAATATTTCTCCTGAAAGCAAAGTCTCCACATAAACACATTCGATACCGACGCATTGATTTCATTATACGTACTGAAGGAGGGAGACTGAATCACGTGCATCGAATTTGATCCATATATTTTGCTGCTCTTTCCAACGGTTTACCGCCTCATCGTTGCTGGCCAACAAGGTCTCCCAAACTGGGAAGGAATCGACCATTTCCACCAGGAAGCCCAGCTAACAGTATACGAATACCAGGATCCACTACTGTCCTGGTATCAAACTAGTCGCATGGTAGCAAATCTCCTTTTGATCCGCAAAGGTGGTGACTGCTTGTGGTGGCGACGACCTGGGACAGACTATGGCCAGACCGACCTCGGGATTACAGAGAAACACAATGGCTAAACCAGCAAAACTACGAGAAATGGAGACTACGCTGGGGCCTGTACAACCAGTGAGGACGGCCTGACCACATATTGAAGTATTTGGTCGCTTATTATACTGTACATATGTTCTCTACAGTAATTTCCGTATTCGATCGATAGCTCCTCGATAACATACGTTGTACTATTGTTAGGCAAAGCCTAATTCTTACACTCTACATCTCCCAAAAGAACTTCCTCTAACGATTGTTCATTTTGCCAAGCGATGGTTCCTGGCCTAAACGTTGCTAGGATTTGTCCGCTGCTGAAAGTATTATACAAGAAATGTGCTAAGATGTTCCTATTTCTATGGTCAAATCCAAAAAATAGATAAGTCCCGCTGCAACTGCTTAGCATGTAAAGGGTTTCGAAAGAATAACACAGAAATACAACCACAACATTGCTGAGATATTTGCAAAACTCTGGACCGCAGATGTCTATGGTTGGGAACGAACGCGCTATTGTCCTTTCCGGGGAGTAACGCGTCCACCACCACACCATGCGGGTCCTTTGTTTCGCCTGTCTCTCAGCTATTTCTATCGATCTTTGCCACAGCAATCACCCGTCAGCGGGATTGATCTGGGGCGCCCAAATCGGCATAGAACGCAGTTCAGCTGCGGCTGTAGTTGAATGGCTGCGGGTTGTATTTCGCTTAGTACCCTGCCGCGAAATTATACTAGACAGAAAATAAAAAGGTATAAAATATAAATAGTTTACACTAAAGCTACTCAATAGTTTTTGGACTAAAGTACCTAAGATAAAAGAAAGCCTGTTCGCTGAAGTGAATGAATGTAGCAAGTGGCAGTTGTAGCAAATTAGGTGCAGTCCTATCCGCTGTGTGAATGGAAAATAGGCATAACTATGCAAGCACTTTGAAATTTAAAATGTAAGACTTCGGATGTAAAACTTGGTTATATGCATTGGATACGTCAGTAAGCAATAATGTTACCTGATGTTTGACTTATTTGATTTGCCAGCATGATGAAAATATTCATGTTCAGATTGTCTTGATGATAACCATCAATATTATAAAATCTAGATGTTACAAATTCCTACGATTACATATTATATGGAAAGAAGTGTAAATTGCATAAGAAATATGAATTGTAAAGGGTACAATTGTGAAGATTTAGTGCTGGTTTGATCCCACCCCGAACCTATCAAGCCTCTCGTCGTTTCGGGGTCGGGAAATTGGAACCATTCTGTTCCGAGAGCAGTTCACTTCCTGCAATCCCAGTGCGAATATTCTAGCCCAAATATCTGAACACCAGAAAAAAACCGTCTCAAAAAGCATTCAGTGGCAGCACCTGAACTCACACGCGAAAAATTCGAAGACCCACTGGATTATGGATGAGAGGAAAAGAATCGAATGCGAGAAGCGCTGAGATCTGCACAGCAGTTATGAACAGAGCACGCAAAAAAACTTTTTTATTTTATTTTATATGAGCCATCATCACGTCTTCTCTGCGGGTTCCAACACTTCTCACATTCGATTCGTTTCCCCGTATCCATCATCCACGAAGGTCTTCCAACTTTTACGAGTGTTTTCGGCTACTGCAGAGAATTCCACTTCATTTCGAATGCCGTAGAATGCTGGTCGAGTCGATTCGCACTTTACCCTGGGGTAACCGGGCTGGAATGTTCTCAACTGGGCTGCAGAGAGTGGCTCTTTCCCGGACAAATCCGGTATCAATATCCCGACCCCGAAAGGATGAGAGGTTTGGCAAGATTGGTGTGGGATCGAACCATCACCGTGCTCGAGAAAAAAATAAAACGATAAATAAATACGTGGAAAAAGAATTGCAGATTGCAAAGTTCGAAGACTTCTAAAAAATAACTTTCGTGTAAAAAAGTGCAAAAAATGAGACTTTTAAATTGCAAGACTAATCTTTCTAAGCAAGGAGTTGTGAATCAGTTACACTTCTGAAGAAACACAACACAATTGACATATCGATGAAGAACATCCTTTGATAATTATTATCTAACATGAATTAGCACATTTGAAAAAATTTTACGTACAAGTACAGCAGATATGTCTTAGCACCATCTCCACCAACGACAAACCCGCTACAGAAGTAACGGACTTGTCCGGGGACAGTTCCTGTATTCTTTATGCAGAAAATAGCTTTTTTGAAAGATGCGTATACTACACCTGTGAAGGTAAACTCTTGAATGAATAGAAAAACTAAAATGAAAAAATTTGCACGACACATGAAAACACGGGGAAGAATATGACTTGATACCAGTTCATGTTCGGCAATCCAACCCGTTCCACATGACTATTTGCTTTGAAAAGAAATGGCTAAAAATCTGAAAACGCTGAAGATGTTAACACCATACCCTGGTAATGACCTGGGCAATAACCAGATGCGTGTTGTCATCCATTCTAGCCAAACAAAGTTCACCAGGAAATAGTACCAACCTTAAACATTACGTAATATCCACAAAATTCAAAAACTTAAAACGAATGCAACCAAACCTCCCCATTAAACCATCAGCAGGCGGAGGAGGCCAATCACTTGGCTTCTTGAATGCTTCTAAACGAGCACGAACAGCATTAGTTTCTTCTTCTATCTGAAGACATTTGTTTATATTCGGAACCAACATTAATTTCAACTTATTTTATAAAAGAATTGATTTTGTTAGACACAAGTCATAGATTTTTTATTTATATAACCTATCATCACATAATGTGGCGACCCTAGCACTTCCCATGTTCGCCGTCCTGCATCCGTCCGTAGTTCACGATGTGACTGCGTATGGATTGGACTGCTACTTGGGGATTCTCTCCTCAAGAAGCACGTTTGGTGCTAATCGAATCGCCTCTCTAGCTAGGATCCTAGGCCAGCTCTACTACACCGTTTTTAGATCTTCACCACAAGCAGTCCATAGCCTTTGTGGATCTGAAGGAGTTTATCACAGAAAGTCTGATACCACCTTCTTAACTCAGGGTGAATGGGGTTTTGGCTGGCATGAGGCAGGGTTGAAGCGGTGAGTGTTACATGATATCTTCAACCACTGAGTTTTTCTTCTTATTCCAAAAACACTCCGAATACAAAGTTATGAATTCTTTTTTTGATGAGCTAACACGAGGTTGATAATGATGCTTATTTTCGGCTAAGTTATGACACTAGACTAATGAACCCACTTTAACCAAATCCTGTTCAGTTAGTGAGGGATAGTCGTGAAAATTCGCTGGAAAGAGCTCCTTAATGGCGTCTTTACGTCTTCTCACCACAGCAGCATGTTTTTCCAACTAAAGTATAACATCTGTATATTTTAAAACATACAAAAGAATCTTAACTCCTTTATTTACTGCCCTTTTCTTCTTAATGGCAGGGTATGTTGTGAAATATAATTCGTATGAAGTGCTGAGATATTTGCAAAACTCCGGACCACAGGTGTTTGCAAATATCTCAGCACTTCATACGAGTTATACAAAAGAATGTCAAAAACTTAAAAGAACCTCAGAAAATTGTTTAAAACTTATGATCTGAATTTGATCTTTTGGAAACTGCTGATAATTTCTCCATAATTTGAATACTTCACGCGGTGAAAACGTGATCACCTAGTAGAAGTGAATTTCCTCCAATTACTTTGGAGTATATATGGTACTTCAAAAGAGTTACTCTATTTCCAGAGCTGTTTAGAAATAAAACCTCTAAAATAAACGAATGGAAAAGTCAAATTCTCAAACAGTTCTCAGGATTGACTTTCTAGTAACCTCGGCACTGTATTATGCGTCGTGTTCTTGTTCAGCAATCGCGAGGTTGTTATACAGTTACATTTACTTCCGCGCAAAACACAACCGTTTCAGCAGTGAGTTTTTCGCATTTTTGTATGTGTTATTGAAGCGTTTAGCTTAGCAAATCCTATATCAGTATACGGTATACCCTTCCAGATCTGAAAAAGGCGATACTGCCGAACCGTCAGCTACTGTTTTATAACAACCTCGCGATTGCGGAACAAGAAAACGACGCAAATTTTTAAAATTCCTACTAAAATCCCAGAAACCATAAACATAAGTTACGCATTTAGGAAACTTAGTGTGCTCCAATGTGCGAAATATCACTTGTTCAATCGCCCTCATTTTCGAAATTCGAGTCTTAACGATATACATTCAGAGGCCTTCAAAAAAACCAGAATTTCATCACGGTAAAACAGGAAGGCTTCGCGAAAAACTGTAAATTACAATGTGCTTTATGGCACTTAGTAAAGCTTACATTGAGCCGACAGCAGTTCGTTTAATGTTGGAACCGGCCGTGTTTTTGGAAAGCTTTGAGTGTAAATCAGCTCACGTCGCACCAGAAGTGTCAAAAATGTTTTCTGAATCTCACCAAAGAGTTCCTATCCATAGCTCTAGTAAGCTCGTCCGTATCTTCATTGATCTTATCCACTTTTGTGATAAAAGCTTTTAACTCATTCTGTACCATGATACATTGCCTGAACACGTACCATTCTGATTAGATGTCTATTCACGACAAGACAAAAATTTTTACAGGATATATGATAAAAGGCAATGTTCCAATAAAAGAAAAAAAGCAGTCTAACACTTAATAGATATTACGACAAGCATAAACTCTCTATAATAGGCAGTAAATAAAAGCTAAACATTGTTATTTCGACTGCAGCTTCAGCTTGACTGAGTTCAATGCCGACTTGTGCTCCCCAGGTCATTCCCGTTGACAGCTCACTGCTGATAACATCATCACCGTAAATAACTAGACGAAAGAATGGAGAAGCAAAGGTCTCAGTGGCGCAGTGGGTAGCATGTGAGCCACCGGAAAGGATGATCATGGGTTCGAATCTGGTCTGGAGCGCTGGTTTTGCAAATGTCTAAACATCAATGCAGTTGTATTCACACAGCATCCTGTCATGAAAACATAGGCAGTAAATAAAAGTTTTCCATTACAATCTAACATTGTTGCTGAATCGGCACAAATGTTAGGAACCACGCAGGGTCGTAGAATAATGGAAAACGAGAAAAAGCAAAACAGCAGAAAAAACCCAACGTAATAAAAGTGCTATTGATCTTCACTAGATATATTCATATCGTAAAATCAAGCAGTTATTTGCACAAGGCTCTTGCATTTACGACATCGTGAAAGTGATGAATCGTGATAATATATTCAACAGAAGTCAGTGGTAATTATTTTCAAATAGCGCGAAAAAGAACTAACCAATCGATGCTAACCTCATTTGCTCATTTGGTTGATTTTCTGGAGATGTAGGATTGATCAAGAAAGCCTTCGTAGACTGCCACTGTCTAAACGCTTCTTCGCGAACGAGTCTTCCAAATTGGAATTGCTCTTCGTCCGACCACATTACGTTTGTATAGTGGATCGCACTCCAGTCACAAGAAAATGGCCAGCCACTAACCTGACATGTGTCGCATCACAAAGTAATTAAGTTAATGGTTCCCGATCACGACGATAAAAATTGTTAACAACCGAACATACACTTAAAGCTCTTACTCCAAAAAATACGGCTTTGACACATGGTAAAATAAGAATCTCGCTATTTTTATAAACCTTAAAATACAACTATTACTTCGAAAGCACTCCGTAACAATCGCAACAAACAGTCTAAACATTAAGAAATTCGACAGAATCAAAATTAAATTCTTGAATGATAAGTTAAGCCACTTAGTACCATTTGATTCATAAAACATTACTTTGTCAGATAGAGTAAATTTTTAGAAAAGAAATGAAGAAAGCAAACAACGCGATTGACCCACTTCACAATAGGCCATTGTAAGAGCCAGAGAACAGTCCAGAGGATTGCATATCGTTAGCTGTAAAGACATAGTAGCAAATAAAAGCGGAACCACAACAACTGAGACAAAAAAAAACGAGGTCACCATACCATAATCAATTGTTTAGGCGTTTTTTCCTCATCATGACCGCTTGCTAGGAACGTCTTTACTGTATAATAAGTGCTCTTATCCAGTTGCAGAGCCTCGCACAGCACTTCGAACTTGTTGTTACGGCTGTTTCTTTCTGAAAACACTATTTTACGAATCGAAAATTATTTGGTGCAAGAACGACATCGTTTACTACAACCATACACCTTCCATAATAGCACACAGTATGGCAAGAATTAGCTGTTCTTGACTCATATTAAATTCGCTTCCAAAGTCCACGTTTTCTCGCTCCTCAAATCGATCAGCGACGTCTTTCATAACACGGGGATCAAAACATGGCTTCGTTTGACGCTAGAATGACACTTTTTGAAAGATAAGAGCATATATTCTCCTCCCTTTTATTTAACTCATTCTCACCTTCTGTAGATAATCCTTGTCAGTAACCACATTGAAATTGGTCAGATCTTTTGCATCCAAGTAGGTGAACCAACTAAAACAAGCACTTTCGAGTGCAAAAAGACCTTTCCTATGACTATGAAATGAAATTGGGGTCAACAAACATTTTAGTACTACCACCAATGAAAATATGTCGTCATAAAAATGGCTTACTTTAGCAAATCTTCACATCTTCTTTTAATTAAGACCACCTCATCCTCTGAAAGGACGTCCCACTGAGCGCACGGATCGTTAATAGCAGCAATCGCTGCTTCAGCTGCCAACATACCAAGTTCAGACTGAAGATGGATGAAGTCATAAAATTGAGTTGTTATTTTCGGGATTTTTCTTCTTAGACTACGAAAGTTTGTTTTTGTGAAATATAACTATAATAGTGCTGAGATATTTGCAAAACTCCAGATCGTAGGTGTATGCGGTGGGGAACGAACGCGCTATTGTCCTTTCCGGAAAGTTGCGCGTTCACCACCACACCATGCAGGTCCTTCGTTTCGCCTGTCTCTCAGCTAGTTCTATCGACCTTTCGCCATCAGCAATCACCCGTCAGCGGGATTGATCTGGGGAGCCCAAATCGGCAACGAATCCAGTTAAGCAGTTATAATCACAATTTCAACTCATTATTATTAGAACTAGCTGGGAGACAGGCGAAACGAAGGACCCGCGTGGTGTGGTCGTGAACGCGCTACTCCCCGGAAAGAACAATGGCGCGTTCGTTCCCCACTGCATACACCTACGGTCCGGAGTTTTGCAAATATCTCAGCATTATGATAGTTATATTTCGCAAACACACTCTGCTATTAAAAAGAATAGGCAGTAAATAAAAAAATGGTTAAGATTACAACAGTTTGCTTAAAAATAAGCATTTGAGCTCTTGTATTCACATTGAATGCACCGCTTTATTGCATTTGATTAAGTAACCATTAACAATCGTACAACATGGAGATTTCGTCAAAAATTCTACCTGAGATGACAGTTTTGAAGTTTAACATAATGAAATATGACCTGCTGCTACGAATAACGGTCATTCTAAAAACGTTATTTGAAGTGAATTTATGCAGAAGATGTACGGAACTACGGAACTGATCTTTTTTCATTCAAAGCACTTAAGGTAAATTCAAAAATAAAAAATGTGATCGTCATGAGATCTTTTGTCAACTTCATCTAAGCAGCAAAAACTGTACCTTTCTTGGTCGACGTATGACATGCTAGCCAACCAGATTCTGTGCACGATACTTGGATACATGGATGGCCCGTCTTCCTTGGTTGTGACGGCTCCAGCACAGTTTCCATCTTCTCGGACTTTTCCTGGATTAGTCATCGTGGTTCCCTGGAGTCCCGATGTCGGCCTAGCCAAAGTCTGCCACAGGTTGTCACCACCACAGAAAATCGTCGTACTTGTGGACCAGATAAAGATTTGCCACCATGCAACTAGTATGGCACTAGGACGGTGGCCGAACCTGGTACTGGTTTACTCTTAGCCGGGTTTCTTAATGGAAACATCGGACTCCTTCTCAGCTTGGGAGATCCTGCTGTGGAGGTGAACCTTACCTCTATAAAGTGCAGCCCGAAACCCAGGAACCCGTCCCAGTCAAGATGATGCGGAAAACCGTTGGGAGGTCTGTGCACGATGAACCACCACAGTTTGAGAATTTGCAAATACTGAAAGCATTGGTTTGCGAAACTTCCTCACCAACCATACTAGGTCTCTCATGAACCGAAATCGAATTGATGAATGAATTAATTCTTTCTGTTTTTACTACCATTTAACCATTTTTATTTTCTTTACTTCACTTCCTCTTCTAGGACAACATGCAGCAGTTTACAAAATGTAAACATTTGAATCTACACGTGCAAAATAACGCAAAATAAAACTTAAGAGAGAAAAATAGTAAAACGTACATATGGATTGACCGTCTTACTAGAACTCGATGGCGTGTCGACCATAGTTACCTTCTAGATGATCCCCTAATCACTAAAACGCGATACGCTTAGACAACCGAGCAGCACCTACGTTCCTTAAAAATAAATCACTATTCGATAGAATACAGCATAGTCTCAAAAACACAAGAGCTTCTTGCTATACAGGAAATATATACAATGCATAGAAATTAAAATAGAAATATGGAATATAAGGGAGAAAAAAGGATAAAGCTCTCGGCGTTGATCAGTGTGTAAGGGATGCGCCGTGCATGCGACTTCGTTAAGCATCGTTGGAGGTGATTGAATGCATATCCGGCCTTTACAATGACTCGCGGAAGTCTACCGATGTATCGAGTCAGTGTTGCTACCCTGCCAGACAGGTCTGGTACCTATTTACCTAGCCCGGAGGGATGGAAGGTTTGGTGGGCCGCGGGCGCGGGGATCGATCCCACATGTGCCGCAAGATGCCCCCGACCACTGCGCCACACGCGCCACGATTGTGTGCAAAGTAATATGCATAGAATATGTACATAGAAAACCTTGTGTGCCTGAAAATCTGAAATAGACAGTGGCGAAAGCCTCAGCCGAAATTCATAATGAAAAGTCAGCCGTCTTTTATGGTGCGCTGTCTGCATATAATTTCATTAACGTCTGTTTGTTCACGATCCTTAACAAGTTCAGAATACTAATGAATTTGGGCGTTTACGGTATAGATTTCGCCTAGTGAAGACAGTAGTTCTAAGGGAAACTTCCAATTAGATTAAATGAAGATGTCCTTAAGAGTTAGTCTTCGCTAATTTCAGTGATCAGACTACCAGATTAGTGCGGAACCATATGAATCATCATAACTATACCGCTTCTGAACAGCTTTTGAAACTTTGATCTTTGACTTAGTTCTTATTTAATTTTAACTTTAACTTTTAACTTGAAATTTCTCCTGGCTATACAGGCTGAAGTCATTAGTTTATTACGTCCATGCTTTTCTGAAGTGAACGTTATTCATCAAGCCAATAGGAACCTGTCATACCTGTCATGCTTTCTGGTAACGTTTCTTGGTAAACCATACAGTCACCTGTTGTTACTTTTGTATTTAATTGGCCTATTCCAGTGTTACTGTTGAATTTCGCAGTCTCTAGACATTTTCAATGACGTCGACAAACGATGTAAACGATGACCACTAAGTATCGAGTCACTACAATGCATGGATAACAGTGTATTCTTCATATGTATTCTTTCTTGATAAGCTTGCACGAGGTTGATCAATATATTTATTTTCGGCTAACGTTTCGACGTCTTCGTCTTCCTCGGAGCCGGTGATCCGAGTCGATGGTCCATGCTTGTTGTTCGCCTCGACGTTGCGTCTTCGCCTTCGTGTCAAGCCAGATCTTCCTCAGCGAGCCATCTTCTCGAATGAGGCATCCTTACTCAGTGATGCCCTTTTATACACGATGCTGATGGTGGACATATAATGACAATGTCCGGTGGTAACAACTTGTATTTCTTCCGGACATTGCGCACATCGTGCAGAGGTCGGTGTATTATCAGCTAGCACAAAGCGTAGTAATATTTCGAAACCGACCTTCCCTAAACCTCGGTGTGACTAATCAATATGTATTCTTTCTTGATAAGCTTGCACGAGGTTGATAAATATAAATATATTTATCAACCTCGTGCAAGCTTATCAAGAAAAAAAAGTGTATTCTTCGTTCGTTCGCAGCCTTCTCGACGAACTCCCATTGTCAAATCCGTTGTTTTCCTCCTATGCCGTTGTCATCCTGTTGAGTCCACTCGTTCTTATGGTTCCATGACTATGGCTTGAAACACATGGCGCTTATAGTGGCTATTCTCCGAATAGTTCCTATTTTCTGAACTGTTTAAACAGGGTACGGCTCTTGGCGTTGATCAATCAATTCCTATGAGATGTGCCATGCATTCGACTTCACTAACTATCGTTGGGGGTGATTGAATGCATATCTGGCCTTTACAATGACTCATGGTGGCTTAGTGATGGTACTAATTTGGGGACCTCGGAGAGATGGAAGGCTTCGTTGGCTTTGGGAGCGGGGATCGATCCCGCAATATTGCAGGGCACCTCCGACCACTACGCTACACGCACCCCTATCCTACATCTATCCTTGCACATTCTGCCAGTTGTTTCATAGCGACCATCTTATGCACCTACTTTGTAGATGGCTGGAAAGTAATTGCGTTACTTCTCTTTCACAACTGTTCTTCTGCGTCCGACAGTACAGGCACTGAAGAAGCAGCTGCCATTTGCATGCATTCCTCAACATCTGTCGTTCCAATCTGGTTTTTGTATAAGCTGCTGCATCGCTATTACATATATTTCCGGTAAAAACTTTGTATAGCCTTCACAAACATTCTGGAATCTCCCTCTCAGCATCGTCTCCACTTCCTTCTGAAAAACTCCGCCTCTATTTTAGGGCGAATATAAGCCGCTCCGTCAGCTCTCGGCTGAGCTCTTTCCGGAGTTCTTTCCACAGTTATCTCCACAGCGCTCCCTACCAGTTCTTTCTTCTTCTTGGTACTGACGTTGGTATCCTTCGCCCTTCTGAATATCGCCACACTTAATATTGTATTGCTGTTATTTTATATACAACACCATGCTTACATATATGCATATACATATACATATACATATACATATACTTACATATACATATATATATGCTTATATGCTTATATATGCTTACAACACAAGGCGAACGGTAAATCGAGCTGACAACTCTGAGAACCAACTGTTCAAACTATATTCCTAACACTGTGTACGCCACTAGAGGTGTCTCTAGCGTACCCGATTTTTGCTATGCGTAATCTTTCAGACCTTGGATTGTTGATATAGGGTGTAATTCCGAATTACTTAGGCAGTTCACTGAATTCCCACATGGGGACAGAGATTACCAAAAGTTACCTTTTTGACTTTTTCATAGTATAGATGAAGCTTGCTTGCTGGACGTGACTCCGGATAGCTTAAGTGCATCCCACTCAGGTGATTGTAAGTTTTTGAGGGTTGGATCGACGTGCAGGGTATAATGGACACAACTAATTTCCAGAATCGATCCATGCCTTAAACATGGTGCATGGACCCTCCTTTGCCCGTTCTGTTACCTGTTTCTTGGCGCCCGATATGGCCCAATGACTACCTAGTAGAGTCTTCACATTAGGAAGATTTTTGAGATATTAAGTAGAAATGGTGAATTTTCAAATATTAACAGCTAGAATGGAAGTATTTTATGGCAAATCCTATGAACAAGAAACAAAAGGATATGAATGTCCGAGGAGTTCTTACATATTCATAGTATCCTATTTTAGCAAGAAAAAACATTTTTCATCAAATATAGTTTGGAAGTGGCAAGGGTATTGAATAGGATGCTCCAATCCATGTTCGCTCCTACCATTTTCTTGAAATCAGCAATCCTTTAATTGTTTCGTTCGTTCTTCTTCATTCTTTCTTCTTCTTTCATTTTTTCCCATGCACGGTTCGTGTTCTCCTTATGGTTCTCTTACAATCATTCAACTTTGTAAAACATTTAAAAGTAATCCGTTGACTGGTTCAGCTTTCAGAGTTGCGGTAAATCTGATGAACAGTGGTACTGTTGTTAGTCGAAGAGGTTGCCCTCTTCTGATGTCTATCAGGCTTTTGCTTCAGGTAAGAGTTCAGTTTTTTCCTCCTATGTGACCGTCTCTATTCAACAGTTTCTTGGTCCATGTCTCATAAGTTTTTGGCTGTTTTTTGGAGCTTCTGACCAATTGTTATTATCACAATTTTTCTACCACCCATTAATATCGTAGTAATGCTTTACATCTGGATAGATGCTTAAATTACGTAACGGCCCCAGCTTTCTTTCCGTTCGTTTCGTTGTCTTACAATCGTCATACATATGAGTGGTGGTGTTCATACGTGACTTTGACTCCCTCATATAGATCTTTTCATCTTTCCTCAAAAAACGCTGAATGGTAGTCGAGAGCGTTTTTCGTGAAATAACGAGGTAGTCGCTGTAGTGTCTCCTGAATTCTTGATCGCAAGCACTCGCTAAACTACCTGAACCCGAGAAAAGTTTACTGCTTTGCGATTAAGACGTTTCCTTTGCGTCTTCCGTCCTCCTGTAATTAGTCCTCTGACTGGACTACTTGATAGGCATATAACACTTTGTGTATATCTACAATCTGACCAAACTATAGTAATTATCCAGATAGTCTTCAATTCCATTTAATGATGGTCTGAAAACATTCTGGCACGTATACTTCTACTTAAGAGCGAAAAGTCTTACGAAGCCAGCAAGATACTACGTAAAGGAGAAATATACTTTGGCCTACACCCCTGGTTCTTCGTGAATATGACCACTTCAAAACTTAGACAGTTGTTTCTTTTTCAGTTCTTTAGAAGTTTTGCTTTTCATGTAGAAATGGCATTTTAGGTTACCAGATACTCTAGAAAGCTTTACTGTGATCGTTCAGAAGTTAATTCTTCTGTGCTCTAAGTAAAATAGCGACTTGTCAGTGTTAGGGTTCTAATCAATAGATTTACAGGCACAGCTCTTACCGGGATCGCATGAAGATAATTGTTTTTCAGCTTTCGTTAACGGCAGCCCAAAGCTTGAATGACCTAGCCAAATCGGCTGTCATCAGATTTGAACCGCAGGAATTGCACAGTTTGGTGGAAGGTGACAACGAAACTGTGTCTGTATGTGTGAAAATACCTCAAGCGGAGTTTGCGGCTCTTCCTGATTTGGAATATCAGCTGAGTTTCGGGTGTGTTTGTGTCTCATAAAATTGTGGGTTTTCTTGGTTTCCAGTCGATTTTCGAGGTGTTGGGCCGATTAATTTGCCTTAATTTGTTAAATGCTAAGAATATTTTGTTGAATTTCATCAATCTTGAACATGATGTCATTTTTAGATTGTTTCCTGCATTCCTAAGTATAACTAAGTCTTGAACTAATATTAATGCTCATGTGCTGAGTAATATTACGCGTTGCATTCATTCGTTCATATTCTGTCATAACAGCCAGAGTTTTTAAATATTAGAGGATGAATACTTTCTCAAAAGCCCAGAAGTTTCAGTGTCAATTGCCCTATATTTCTTTATTATTGTCGTTCTAGATTTTCTTTAAACGTGTCTGTACAACAATACTTTTAGATTCTACCCACAAATTGATTTCAGATCCTTCCATCCTGAAGTAGCCTACTCACAAAGTTATGTTGATGTCGCAAAAAGTTCTTTCGTTCATGACAACAGTTCTAACTTTTATACACTGAATGTAAGCTTATCTTATTCATCGTTATGTTGGAATACCTGAATTTATTTTCACAATATCTAGACAGAGGTAATAGTCCATGGTGGTTCAATAGGGAAAACCGGGATGCGCTTGCGATTAGTGGTTTCACGAAACTGGAGTGATTTGGATGATTCGTGGAAGGTTATCTTTTGGCAGTATCTCTACTGAGACTATTTGCTTAATATAATATTTCTTCGTCATTTATCGAATGTCTTCAAAATTTAGGCGATGGAAATGATGAAAGGTGACGCGGAAAATATTCTCGATGTATGGGTTCGAAGGAATGAGACGTCGGAGCGTTTGACCCTTATTTTTGTAACTTCTATAGTGCTGCTAATCACATTTGGAAATGTGTTAATGGGTTGTGAGGTATGAGGTAGATCGATTCTGAGTGTTTTTTCAAACGATGAAAGGGTATAATATTAGCACTTTAAATAGTTCTAATATTTTCTGTCCTTTCCGACTACTGCGTTTCTAAGAAATTGCGTTTTAGCTAGATTTGAGAGCCATTTTTGACACACTGAAGAGACCAGTCGCACCGACTATCGGATTTCTCGCCCAGTTTCTCGTAATGCCTGTGGTAAGTACTGAACGCTTCTATGGTCCATTTGATCTTGTTGTTTAATACAATATGAACCAGCTATGTAAGTGATTTGAACGACTCTGCCGAAATATAAATAACCGCAGTATTTTTTACCTTATCAATATCAAATTTCTGTTGCAAATTGTTATTAAAACAGTTAAGATTAGATTTTTATTGGTTTCTTCATCGATTTCAATTGTTTCATTGTTTACTTTTATAGCTCGCGTACAGTATCGCCAATTCGATCTTCGTTTCCCAAGGTCTTTTCTCCATGGCATTAGGTTTATTCGTAACTGGATGTTCACCAGGTGGTGGCGCATCGAATTTCTGGACACTTCTGTTAGATGGAAATGTGAACCTCTCAGTAACGATGACGTTTATGTCAACTCTCGCATCATTGGGTATATGTTTGAGATTCCATTACTAGGTATTTGGTCACTTACAATTCATAACCATATCATGAGTGAGTTGGTCGTTTTTTAGTGGTGATGCCATTTTGGATATCAATGTTTGGCGTGGAGTTTTTACAAGGTTTCTCCTCAAAATCAAACTTGCGAGTCCCATATGGTGAGCTCTTTTTGGTCTTAATTTCTTTAAAATATGATTCTTTGTGCCCTATTGCATTACAGGGAAAATTGTTCGTTCTTTGGTCTCGCTTGTGGTTCCACTGCTCATAGGTGTAGCTATAAGGAAATTAAAACCGGAGTGGGCAGTTAAATCACGCAAGGTTTGTCTATCACTGAATATTACTGATTCTTCGGATCGACACCCTAAATGGGAACTTTTGATCTTTGTGATGGCGAAGCCATTTCTTTCTTGTACGACATTGTTATTGCAAATTATTGTGAAGAGTCATAGAATATAATATCACTTAGTATAGAAGAGCCTAGAAAGTAAGGAAATGAGAAAAGTGTGAAGGTTAGCGCAAGAGATATCTTAAGTAGCTTCATGGTAAAACTCGGTGTAGAGAGCAAGAAAGGAAGTTGGTTAAGTTTGTAGTGCTAACCGGCATCGTATATGGTGGCTCGGCTTGTCAAAATATATTGACCAATTCTTAATTACAAACGTTGCCTCTGGACACTGCCACAACAGGATTTTATCACATAGTTCTAGCGCACACACGACTGAGTTTGGTTTTCTATGGCGGGGGTTTAGGACTACACTTATTATGCTTTGCACTTCTAGTCTACTCGGTCATTCAAAAACGGTTTTCTGTTCTGTAATTCGATTTTTCAGTAGGTTTATCCTGCTCTTGTCCACACTATGCCATATTTCTGCATTTTTTTATGTTTATTATTTCTCATGTTTCATATTTTATATCAAAATGTTTTCCAATCATGTATAATTCTAATGTGTGATGGACACAAAACTCGTCCACCATCCAACCATGTTGCTATCGGCCTTGTACTTACAGGGATATTTGGACGGCCCATCTTCACGGGTTGTGTGGATTCCAGCACATTTTCTGTCAGTTTCTTTGCCTCACAGTCTTTGCTCATTGTGGCGTCTTAACTCCAGCGTGGTGGCGATTGCGAGTACAGCTGATTGATCTTATTTGAAAGCGCGACCTCCCAATGTCTATGTGGACTCTTAGAGGAGGTCTATATCCTCGTAGAGTCCACTCTACAGCTTTTTTTGTACATCTGTTTTCTGTTCCTTTCATTGTGTGACCGGTCCATCTATGTTTTGTTATCGATGTGTGTTCTCCTGGGTCTCGAAAATAAGATAGACTTCGAAGACCACAGCTACGCATTCCAGCTAGAAGTTGTGAGTGCTCGTTTAATTCCAGAAGACATCGCTGAGGCGTTCTGTGAGAAGTGCCCAGAATTCCTGACATAGTTGAAGTAGCAATCGACATCTACTCCATGCGCTTTGACAAGTGTTGAACCGAAAAGGCAAGCGTGGATTTTCGATCCCTAAGTTGGTCGATACTTTCCTAGAGAGATCCGAATGCGGCCCATATCTCTCCTTCTTCTGTTTAATCCCTCCTTTATATTGTTCTGTTTGTTGGCTGAACGTCCAAGGTACACGTGTGAGGTGGTATGTAATCAGAAAACCCTCCAGTTTGACCCTTTCGCCTTCGTACCATAGGTTTTTCATGAACTGACTCTTCGTCCTATTTATGTGAGGTCCAATCTTTTCTTTCGCTTCGTCGAGCTCTTTGGTTATCGTCTCTGCTTCACTGGTACTTCTTGAAATTATGAAGATGTCGCCAACAAAACGAAAATTTGATAGAAACTTCTCATCAATACATATTCCTTTCTAGTTGCAATCGAGTGGCTTCGCTACTCACTATGGTGCGGCAGTAAACAGCATCGGCGATATGGTGTTGCCTTGTCAAACCCCTTTTCCTATGGTTATAGTAAAAGGTCGATGGAAAAGCCGTTTTTCATGCTGCTGCATTTCCGATTATAGTCACACAGCAATCTGATGCGAAACGGGTCTAGCCCTTGGTCGACGAGCGCTAAGACTGCTTTTGTTTCGACGCCGTCAAACGGTTTTTCATAGTCAAAAAGTCATGACTAGTGGGAGGTAGTATACCTGGCAAACTCCTATGGCCCTGGATAATCTTTGGTCGCGGTCCATATGGCAAAATCGCTAAGGAAATTCTGCATGTTGAATTGATTGTGCCTCATCCAATGTTCTTGATATACTCGATATGATAACCTTAGTAAAGAGCTACGAAGATGATTTTTAGTAGGCAATATGACCGTGTACGAGGTCATGCACTGGTCTGGGCATGTTTCCTTTTGAAGGTAGGTTGTTATATGGGTTGCGCTCTAAGGAAGTCGGCAGTGATATTACTGGGTGTTGGAGCTGTGCGTTCTTCGTGATTTATATCGCAAATCAAATTTCAGAGGGAAGAATTTCAGGCGGTTTTTCTCCAGTGGAGATTTTACGGTCTAGGATGGGGATTGTGAAACCGGGAATGTTGGCGTAGATCTTTTCCATTATCAGTTCCATATATTGAGAAGTTTTAGTGACCCCATTTTTGTTGATTAAGGCGGATAGCGAAATATTATTGATACCAGGATCTCGACGGCACTTCAGAGTAGATTGTTTTTCGGTAGTTTCCAACAACTTTGCCTATATCAGTGTAACTCTTCCTGCAGTGATCTACGAATGGCTTTTATTATCAACCATGCTAGGTGTAATTCTTCGTATTTTTGTTGAGCAAACGCGAGGTGTTATTATTCTTTATTCACGAATAAGCTGACGTTTCGGCAGATTTCGCCTTCCTCAGAGTCTGGAAAGGTCAAGTTGATAGCAATCTACTCGGCCAGACACCTCCATAACCAAACAAAGAAACTCTAAACCAAGATTTCAGTCACATTGAACACAGCTTTGCACACTCACCGCTTTCTATGAGGTTTCCACTATGTCGCGTGAAGACCAACCGCACAGAAATCACATGGAAGCATAATGTGCCCCTCCCATCAGAGTAACAGTCTTATTTACTGCCCTATATCACAGCTATAAAACGCTGCTTAAGAAGGGCGGGTTTAGGGAATTCGGTAAACGTAGTTGAAATACCACCGAGTAATCTTAAGCGCCAGCTAGTTCGTAACCGCCTATATGACCGTCTATGTGCCACTCAGAATTTTAATTGTTTGCCCCAGTGGTAGAGACGGTGATTGTATGAGCCCGGGTATAGTTTATCTGATCTCCTGTAAGACGTGCGGAGACGAATACATTGGCGAAACGGGTTGACCCCTCTGTGTCCGCATAAAAAACACCTAGCCGGCAAACGTAGACCAAATACTCCACTAGGCACGCATAGGACCCAGAGACATAACGGGGAGGACTTTGAAGTACTTGTCATGATCCTCGCGCAGGAATCAAGAACGCAAGCGCGCAAAACTCTCGAGACATTCTGGATTAATTCCAGAAATCCGAAAATGAACCGCAGGGAAGAATGCCTCATTATCACGCGTGATATAGGGCAGTATATAAGACTGCTATTCTGATGGGAGTGGCACAATATACTTCCATTTGATTTCTCTGCGGTTGGTCTTCACGCGACATACTTAGTGGAAACCTCATAGAAAGCAGTGAGTGTGCAAAGCTGTGTTCAGTGTGATTGAAATCTTGGTTTAGAGTTTCATTGTTTGGTTATGGAGATGTTTGCCCGAATAGGTTGCTGTCAATTTGACCTTTGCAGACTCTGAGGAAGGCGAAATCCACCGAAACGTCAGCTTATTCGTGAATAAAGAATAATAACACCTCGCGTTTGTTCAACAAAAATACGAAGAATTACTTTATCAGTGCCGAGGTTAATAGAAAGTCGGTCGTGGGCATGTTAGGTGTGTTGCAGTTGGATCAAGCTCTGGGTTCCTTCTGTTCTCGAGCAACTTCTCAGTGCTAATGAAGGCGCGATCTGACTTTCTGACTTGAGGAACAGGCGAATTTGGTACAAGTTCCATGTCCGTTGACAAGCATCTCGTACTCTTCGGTCGGATCTTCTTTAATCTGCCAGGCACATTTGGATAGCATTTGTTTGGGATGTTCTTATGACATGCAACTGGATATTTTCTTCTTGCCCGATGACATGAATTTTTTTCCAGCTTACGGCAGAATCGAATCTTCTCGCAAAGAAGGCGGTGGTTTGGCCCAGTTCAGAAGCGATGAAACTACCGATTTGCCATGTAGGCATTATCTTTTGTTAGTATGTATATGTATGTTATCTCCGCATATGTCGTACCGTTACGTGACTTACATGTTCTTGGCCAAGTTTTTTTCTTCTGGAAAAATAAGTTTCCGGTGTGCTGCGTACAGAAGTCCCTGCAGGATGGCTTCCAATTTCACCTCTTTTTCCTCATCCGGATTTGTCGATCGTTTGTTTGCGTTCTGGGTCTTTCGTATTCTGGAGTTGAAGTCTTTGACGAAAGGTCACCGATTTCGTGTGGGTCACTCTTCCTGAACAATAGTACGGTCTTTCTGGTCATCCGTTGAATAGGAACATTGCATTCTGTCAGATCACATGTGAAGAACTGAGCCAGTTGACGAGGACTAGCGGGGGTTCTTCACGTGTTTCAGGTTTAATCGTTTCCAGACCATGTGTTACTCGGTTCTTCACCGATGAAATAGTAATTCGCACCTGTTTCAAATCTTTTTGTGATGTCAGTGTTAAAGCAATCGAAATCTCTTATTTTTTTTTTGGCTTTCTGTCAGCATTTATTTTTTATCTTATAGACAAAGTTCTCCTTAAATTCTGCTAATCGATTCGATGAAGTTAGAAAAGTTTGGAAAAAAGATCAATCAGTAAAAAATTTTTCAATACCATATTGTCAAATGTGCTTGCTCTCTGGCGACGCGTATACAAAGCGCTTTTCTGCCCAATTCGCACTACCTTGAACAGTCTCTTTCAGCGGTGTAATATGTCGCTTATTCTTTATTCATTTAGTATTCCTGACCGCGTATTTCTCTATGCCACTTGGGTTGGAATTGCCTTGTCATATCCGCAAAAATTTTCGTATCGCTTTCTTTTGTTTATACTACTGAACATTTAGGACGAAGCTATAAATTTCGTTTTGGGTTTTTCCGCTTTTACGGATGATTTTTCGAGTCACCTTAAATTCTTAACTTTTCTTCACTGTCTACACAAAGTGTAATTCTATGCTTATTTTTAACAATGAATAAAAAGCACACTATATTGCTCTCTCCCACGAAAGTCCCTATTATGAGGGATCTTCTGCTAGTTAGTCGCGAGGCTACGTGGCGCGTCCCCAGGTGGCGGCTAGGGGGTTAATCGCAGACCAAAAGCGACCTTTGCTTCCCTGAAACCCAGGTGGATACAGAGGATGGACTCCCTGTTTCTTCTGCGCCGATTTAGTACTTACTTTCTGTACTTGCGAAACGTATTCA